GTTCTGCTGCATAAAGCAGATTCCTCAAAACCAGCTGAAATTCTATTTATTCCACCATTGTGGTGCCAGTGCTGATGCAGAATCAGTTCTTGTGTTGATATCTTCGGAGAACTGGCCCACATTTTGACAGGTTTGAGAACGAATCATTATGTATTGTGGCTAAAAGAAGTTAGTATAATTTATCACTTGTTTTAAAAATGTTGTTTGGACATTTCAAGGGGGTTTATCCAAGTGTAATACAATTTTCAGCTCTTAATTTCTGTGGAAATTTAGAAATGGACAGACTCCATGGATTGTTTCTGATTATCATTAGAGAATTTCTTTCAGTAGCCTGTGCCATTTGAACCTACTGATGTCATTGGTTCAACTGGTTTTGTGATACCTTGCTAACACTGGCATTTTTCAGCATAAATATGTGCTCTTTTCGCCAAACTATGTGGATCCCAATCTGACTGAGCATCTGTGGAATGCTCTGATAAAACAGATCTGATACAGTGATTCTCCAGCCGCACAGCCAACAGAACCTAACGGTTTTACCTCCAGCATCCCATCCTCAGAGGTCCTGTGTCCAAGCCCTGAGGGACTGGAGATGTTTTGAAAGCATAAGATGGAACCAATAAGTATTAGGCAGGCATTTGTTACTGTTGTGACGGATCTGTGTATAATGGGGGCCATAGGGGCCCAACAAGAAATTGTATTTATATCATTTGACTTTGGGACTGCTATGTAAAGATATGTAACTCACTTAAATAAATGCAAAACGTTGCCTTTATACCACTATACGGTAATCTTTATAGTTTCCTTTTTTCATATTTAGATGCATAACCTCTAGGGGGCAGCAAAACCTCAAAATTCTGTGAGGTTACTTTGTGTGGAGGTCACTAAGAGATCTCACAGAAACAGCTGCCTTGCTTTAGCTTGTCTTTAAAGGGACACTGCAGCCGATTGATATTGTACTTCTACAAAGCCTCTGGACCTGTTGGACCAAATCTGTGCAGAACAGTCTCTTGAAATGTCCTGATGGGATCCCAGACTGCTGGATCCCATTTTGCACTAAACAGCAGAGATGAAAGATCCATATCTTTCAAACGCTGAGCTAGAATATGCAACACAAATGTGTTTTTAAAAAAGCTAAAAACCTGACATAATCCTGTTTGCGTTACGAAAATTCACAAATGAAGTGCTTTGCAAGGTGCTTAAGACCAAGCAAGGTATCTGTTATAAAAACACATGAAAATAATTAACAGTTTCCAACAACTTCAACAAAAATTTATCATTTTATCTCATTTAAAACCAGAGAATTGAGTTGACTTTTGATTCAAATATAGAAATAGGACACACGTGATTTCTGCAAAGGATCATGTTTGCGTCTTCATTTTCTCCAAGACCTTCAATTCATATTATGCATTTATAAAGAGATATGAGATATTCTATGCTGTTACCTTGGAAACAGGCATGTATCTGGTCCCTGAGCGGAGAAGCAGAAGAAAATTATCCTTTATGTGCCTACTAATGGCTTAAAGGCAGCATGACTCTAATGTGCTCTAATGTGTAATTTCTGTTTCGCTGCTGGCAGCTGGTTAGTGTGACTGCAGAGGGGATTCTCAGAAAATGGATATAAGCACAAAGCCTTAAATCCAAGAACTACACAGTACCATGCTTGCATGCAGGTAATGATTCAAAGAAGTCTTACTTGTTCACGATTAGAAAAATGCGAAAGTTCATAATGTTTGCGTAGCAGTGCCCAAAAAAAAGAGACTTTAGTGTTTTTCCCTTTATAATATCAGATTTGATTTGTCACACTTTATTGTTCCCTTTCAGGCCTAAGTGTTTATAGCCATTAAGTACACACTTGATTTAAGCTTCTCGTGTTTTGTTTTGTTTTTTTCAGAAAAACCTGTTGTGGAAATTGTTTTTTAATTTTCAAGTGGAGCCTTCATCCCTGAGATCAGGACAGAATATGCAGAGTGTTTAACAACAAATAAGCTGCTGGGGCCCATTCAAGGGCCCTTTCTGCAAAGATTCACTGGGAAGTGTAACTCAACATTATATATGAAAGTATTAATTTTATGCCATTACTGTGTATTCAAATTATATCGACAGAAGCACATATAGTTTTATACAGCATAGTCTTTAATGCTTTGAAGATTTACTATGTTTTACTCATAGGCTGTATATAAAAGATGGGAGTCATTTCCAGGTCTGACAGTGAAGCCATATGTCAGCTTCGAAAGATACTTTAGGCCGTGTCGGGTGTTAGAGGAGGATGCAGAAATGTGGAGGTAGACTGAGTTCAATTTCAAGCAAGCCATTTAATGACTGTTGCAAATGAGAGACAGCTGAACTAAATCACAGAAGCAAAACAAAATAAAGCAGGAAGTGTGATAACTAAACTAGGAAAGCAGACACATGAGTGAGCTTTATACTTGGCTCGACTCAAGACGATTGACTACTGAAAATTCCAAAATGGACCAAGAACAGGTCTAACAACAGTAATGCGGGCAAATAGGTAAACAATATAAACACTGAGAAAACCAAGAATTACATAGAGTAGTTAAATAAACAAAACTTGAACGTCTAAAAAACTCAAACAAACACCGGGTAAACTGACCCAGGGTCATGATAAGTGCAGTTTAACTGCCTTGAAACTGTATTCTTTTCAATATCCATCAGAGGGTGACTCATGTGATGGCTAAAAGACTTCTGGTTGTTTAGAAGTCTAATGAGTTTTCAGCTCCTTCGTTTTGAAGCCTCAGTAAAATCTTTCCTGATGACCTCATGGGCTCTTTTGCTAGTTTCAGGTCAAACTGAATGAAACATGATGTTCTTTTGGTAAATTGTTCTCATTATTAGAGTCACGGTGGACGGAAAGTCTGGGTTTTGGCAATGAGGGTGCACTGTCAGCTCACGGTTTCACAGCAGGTTGTCACTAATGAAGAGCCGGCATCATGTCAGCTACGTCCATCATTTATATACAGTGTGAAACAGGAAGTCGCCAAATGACCTATTCAACACTGACTGAAGAGTTAGAATTTACCCAGTGACTTTTCACAAGCAGTTCAGGACAGTGCAGTTTATTTCATTCCCCAATAAACAACAATGGTGAACTGTTGTTTTGATTCTTAACCTGCACATTAGATGCACATCATTTAAACCACACTAACAAGTGACTGTGCGCTTTGTGGTAAGCACTGCAGTGAAATTTGCAAAGCAGTAAGGTCGAAGTTTCAAATACAACTCAGTTCCCTGTGTTCGTACTAAAGAGCCGTTAAAAAGAATCAAATTGTAGTTAATATCCACATTTTAGAATCACGTTCATAATTTTAAGTCTCGAGCAGTTATAGGCAATGACAAGATTAAAACACAGGTTTGGTAGATAAGTCCTGGCATGCAGTTTTGAGATAAATACATATTATATGGACTGTTTTTTTTTTTATAAATTAGTAAATCCAAATACTTTTTGACAGTTTAAGTAGTGACGCTGTGCTTTCTCTCTGTTCAGCCATTCATCTTTTTTTCTTTTTCTTTTTGTTTTACTTCAGAGTGGTGCATTCTTTTGAGTCTACAAAGCAGGGTGTCATCTTTTATGTATTCAGTTTTGGATTCAGATTTTCATGCTTCATCATTCTCATAACACTGAGCCTGTTTTCTGATTAGTATTTGTGGATTTTTGGATGCATTTCAGGGTGATTAGTTTTGAACTCCTATTTTTCATTTAAATTTAGTTCCCATTCTGACTTTGTTATTTCTCATATTTACTCCCTTGAGTGTTTTCCTGCCTGTCTTTTTTCCTGTTCGTCTTGTCTTTCTGTGTTTATTCTCTAATCAAAAGAGCTTGCAAAGAAAAGCGTCTGGACTTCTTTAAGTTGCTTGAAGACGTTTCACCTCTCATCCGAGAAGCTTCTTCAGTTTTGAGGTCAAATGGCACTTACAACATTGCAAAACACCTTGCTACCATCCTTGCTCCTCCCGTGGGGAACACACCACACCACATCAAGAACTCCACCGACTTCATCGACAAGGTCCAGGAACTTACCCTGGATACAGATGAAACCATGGTGTCCTTTGATGTAGTCTCTCTCTTCACTTGCATACCCACCACGGAGGCAGTGGAGACTGTCAGGAAACAACTACAAGAAGACAGCTCCTTGGAAGACAGAACCAACTTC